GTCGCAGCTGCGCGCGGGGCGGGACCGCCACGATGGACACCCGCTTGCAGCAGTCATGCCGAGACCCGCTCTGCACCCAGTCCTGGAGGAGAACCTGGCGTCCTACTTGGTTCCCGTGACTTCCCGGATGAGTCCTAGCCACTGGGGGTCTTGGCTTCTGTCATGCTTTTCCCTAAACGCCAGGTTCAGGACCAAAAGAATTGCAAACAGCGACTGGGTTTTCTGGATGTGCAGGAGGGATGCAGAAGCAGGTTGGGGCAGGGGAACCTTACAGTAACAAGCTGCAGCTGGCCACTCTGCAAACTCGATGTTATTGTTTCCCTGGGGGCATTCGCTTAACTGGGTGAAAGTCGCTGCTACTTGGATCGCCAATATCATCTCCCGGTTTACTTATTAAGTACTCCTGGAGCCGTTTGCGAGTGGAAATCATTTAGGGCGATCTTGCAAAAGCTTCCTGCAGGCACTGGCCCAAACCCAATTCATCTAATTACCAAAGTGACACTATTAATTTATTATTTCCATTACCACATCCGTGAAGACTAGGACTAAGATCCTGGAGGTGTCTGCCTTAAAAGGATGGGCCTGTGTCTCTCATATCCTGGAACCAGAACAGATCTTAAATTTAATCAAGATCTCCAGCTTAAAGATGGGAAAAGTCACATTTCCATGTGACCCAAATGTTGTACGGTGCAAAGGATCCCAAGGACCCTTCATCTGGAGCATCATCTGGTGCCTCTGCCTCCTGATTGTCACAGAAATTTCTGCTCCAGCCCAGCAAGCTCCCAGCCTAAAGTCTTTATTATTCACATCCATCAGGGTTGCTCCAGCTCTCCTGCCTCCAAGACCCTCCACTTCACCTCCCTGGTTACAGCCCTCCTCATCTTTCACCTGCACTTGCGGTACCCACACCCTTCCTTCCTTCCCTCTTTCTCGCCAAGGCAACCCACTGCCAAGGTGTGGCACTGCTCCATCCAGTCTGAGACGGCACTCTGGACAGATTCTGCTTTGGGCTACAATGGAGCTGTTTTGTTTTGTGCTGTGTCTTGTCGTGTCCCCCAGAAGGTTCCAGGACTCTTTCTGGGTCCTTTATTCTCTACAGCAACACTTTTGAATCTTAACTTAGAAAACAGCAGTTCTGGGGAGGGGTCCCAGCATCAATCCCAGATGTTGCTGCTGCTGCTGCCGCCGCAGCCGCCACTGCCACTGCCATGGCTGCTGCTGCTGCTGGCATCACACTTTGAGAAGCGGGGTTCTGTGTGGTTTAAATAGTCGTTTGTATGGTAAGGACACATCAGGTGTCTGTTGCACCAAGGATTGTGTTAAAGCCTGCGTGGACAAATCTAGTAAGATGTAGTCTGTGCTTTCAAGAGCACTCCATAGTCCAGTGATGAGATAAAAATCAACAACATCCCAGGTAGCAAGTGCTGCAGGAAAGAGATGCTCATCCCTCCTTTCATCTCTGTGTGACAAACAGAAACACTTTTAGAACAGAGCAATGTAAAAAGAGCAATGCTGGACTGGAGGGGTGGCTCGGTGGTTAAGTACATTGGCTGCTCATGCAGAGGATCAGGGTTCAGTTCCAGGCATGTATAAGGTGGCTCATAACCATCTGTAACTCCAGTTCCAGGAAATATGACTCCCTCTTCTGTCCTCCTCAAGCATTACATGGACAAGGTACACATTCTACATGTGGACACTTATAAACATAAAGTAAACACTTTTTTTCTTTTTATGTATAAAAAGAAGTTTAACAAGAGACAGATGAAGCCACCTGGTCAAATTTTAGGATTCTCCCATTGCTTGTGCAGTTCAAGAAAAGAGAATTCACAGCACTAGCTGGATGCTCTTCAAGCCAATAACACATGGACTTTGACCATACTCGCTCAGTTTACTCAGCTGTGAAGTTTGCCTGCGTTTACCCCACAATTAGAGTGGAACCTGAACCCATAATCTCTCACTGCTGTGACAGTGCACTGCCACTGAGCTGTTCCTCGGGCCTGAAATTCACTCTCTGTGCCATGTTCGGGAAATATGGACAAGAAACCAAGTGCAAAGTGCTGGGGGATAGCAGAGGTAGGCAGAGGTGTGCAGGGTCTCGCACAGAATCCTAAGGAGAGTTGAAGGAGGGAACCTTGTAGACACATACCTGTAGATGAGTACTGTCCTGTGGAGGAACCAGAGGCTGGCAGCTGTGTCTGTTCAGTGACTCCAAGCGGCTGGTATCAGCTGTATTCCCAGTCACCCCCTTTTAAAACTGCATTTTACTATTAAAAAGACATCTTCCAAATACATAACAATGTCACACTCTAAAATTAACAAGACTCTAAGTCATACAACTAAGAGAACATCTGTATGGTTAGAATTGGCATTTGAAATGGAAGCTGTGAACTTCAAATTAAGTTTTACATTTTTAGTCTTAAATGTGTTTCATGCACTTATCCACCACCAGACAGAAAGTCCATGAAGAATTAGAACTAGAAAACTAATTAGCTTTACATCCTCTTTCATAACTTGTGTCCATTACATATAGTACTTTCTTTTCTTTTTTTCCCTTTCCTTTTCCTTTCTTTTCTTTTTTTCCAAGACAGGGTTTCTCTGTATAGCCTTAGTTGTCCTGGAACTTGCTCTGTAGACCAGGCTGGCCTCAAACTCACAGAGATCCACCTGCATCTGCCTCCCGAGTGCTGGGATTAAAGGCGTGCGCCACCACCAACCAGCATGTAGTCCCTTCTTGTCCCCTTATGTTTAGCTTCTCTAAATAGACATATATTTAATACAGTCTAAATATTATATGCAATACAGTATAAGAAGAAAAGAGGACTCTTCATCCTTCAAATGATTGTTGTAACTTAACTTTACTTCTAATTCCCTATTTATTGGTGTGCTTAAGGCTTTAGTTACCACAAAGCAGAAATCCAGTTCAAACTAGATTAATGTCTTTTACTGCCTGGCTGAGAAGACTCTAGATAACCCATGGGAAAGAAGTCAAAGCTACAAGAAGCACTTGCCAGGCGATGGGCACTCATTTATTTCTGCTTCTTTGCTTGCCAGTTCTACTTCAGGCTGGTTTCTTTCTTGTATTGGTGCCAAGTGGCCCTAGGCAGCCATGAGCTTGCACCCCTGAGGCCATCTTCTTAGCTTGCAGAGGGGGATTCCGTAGGAAATCAGAGAGAGAGAGAGAGAGAGAGAGAGAGAGAGAGAGAGAGAGAGAGTCCAGTGTGTAGAGTCTAAGGTGAATGTCTGCTGTACTTTGGATAATGAACATCCCCCAAGGATAGATGTGTTGAGCTGTGAACGGTAGGGTGTGCTGATATCCTGACACCTAGGAAAAGTATGCAGGGGGATCAAGGGTTCAAGGCAATCTTTGGTTTGTCTGTTAAGATTGTTATTGCTGTAATAACACTGACTTATAAAAGAAAGCATTTAATTAGGATTACAGTTCTAGAGGGTTAGAGTCCATGATGGTAGAGCAAAGGCCTGGCAGCAGGACCAGCTGAGAGCTCACACATCTCACAAAACAGCCAGCATGAGGCAGAGCACTGGCGATGGCCAGAGACACTTTTCCAACCAGACCACGCCTCCCAATCCTTCCCAGACAGTTCATCCTTGGGGGTGGGGGTCAGGCAGGGGGACCAAGTATCCAAGCATTTGAGCCTATTATGGGCCCACCCTCCTCATTCAAATCACCACACTTAGCTATGTAAAAAGCTTAAAGCCAGCCTGACTGGGCTACCTGAAGACTGTAGAATAATGATAGAAGAGAGATTATAAAGGCTTGGTTCCAGGGTGACATTATTAGAAGGCAGTGTAGCCTACAGGAGGAGGTCTTGTAGGAGATGCTTAGGCCAATAGGGTCTGTCCTCTGTCTTTGCTTTGCCTCACACATCCACCTTAATGTGTTATCACACCTCAAGATCAAATCAATGGGACCAAAGAAAAATCTGCTTGAGCCTCCAAAACTGCAACCCCCAGTAAACCTTTTTTCTTTGAAACTTGATTGTCTTGGGTATTTTGTTATGAGGATAAAAAGCTGGCTAATATAATATCCTATTCAAATTTCCCCAAAGGGGTACTTTCCCAGAGGAGTGGGGAGGTAGAGAAGTGTGGGTGTCCTTGATAACTTGGGGTGAATAGACATATTGGGGAGTTTTGCACAGCCTTCAGTCATGAGGGTCATAAGAGAACTGTCTGTGATTCTGTCTTCTTGATTTATTCTCTACACATTATAGGACACTGTTAAGTGACGCCTTC